TCGCATCAGCTACCTAAGTAGCTCCTGCAAATAAACGTCATCACCAGAACAAGGGGAAATCAGAGCTACTCTTGATGGGACACAATGATCTGAGGGTCGTTACAAAACATCAGATGTAAATTCTTCACCCTCATTTGATACCAAATCAACCCACAGTCACCTTGTAAAAATTAACCTTGCCCTAAAACAGGCATGCCATCAAAACCTGAGGACTTCTTATGCATATGTCTGAGAACTCTCAAACTGAGATCGTCTTTCTCCCGGGACGGGGCGTGAGCCCAAGGGTTGGAAGGTTATAGAGTCTGAAGAGAATAGGACACTGAGATAGTCTCAGTCTTGATTAGACCACTCGGCTTTATTGTTTGGCTTATTAATAGATTCACTTATTTACGTCAACCTTTAGGGTGATGCAACATTTCATCCAAATGTTGGACTTTTCCATTACAATATCTCTATAAATGGACATAACGTCTCAGTTCTTTTTTTATATGGGTCTCTAGTTTTTTTTTTTTTATTTATATATGAAATTTATTGTCAAATGAGTGGTTTCCATACAGCACCCAGTTTCAGTGCTCATCCCCACAAGGTGCCCACCCTCCTCAACCTCTCCCTCCCATCACCCCACCTCTCATCACCCCCCCTTAGTTTTCTTTCAACCCTTCTTCTTCTTTGTTCTCAGTTCTCTTTTCTCTTTTTTTTCGCTTCTTCCACTCCTTTTCTTTTTCTGTTCTCAGTTTCGTCTCATATTCCCACTCCCATGGGTTCTGTTAAGTTCTCAGGATCCTTAGCATTAGATCCATAAGAGTGAAACCATATGGTATCTGTCTTTCTCTGTATGGCTTATTTCACTTAACAAGCATCACACTCTCCAGTTCCATCCACGTTGCTACAAAGGCCATATTTCATTTTTTTCTCATTGCCATTAGTATTCCATTGTGTATATAAACCACAATTTTTTTTACATCCATTCATCAAAAAAAAAAAAAAGAACTGAGGACGTTGAGGCCCATATAGAGATAGACCATTTTGTACTGTTAGCAGCTAGTTAGTGGAAAAGTCAACATTCTGGATGCCCGGTTGCATGCACCCTGTATGACGCTAAATATGTGAATCTATTTAATGGGCGCCCCAAACACCTGAAATAAAGACATGGGGAAGTGTGTTCATCAAAGTTAGGGCTGAGGGCAGACTTATCTCAGTGTCCTATTCTCTCAGACTCTATAACCTTCCAACCCTTGGGCTCACGTCCCTGGGAGAAAGACGATCTCCTAGTTTGAGAGTTCTCAGACATATGCATAAGAAGTCCTCAGGTTTTGATGGGCGCGTCTGTTTTAGGGTTAATTTTTACAAGGTGACTGTGGGTCTGATTTGGTATCACGTAGGTGAAGAATTTACATCTGATGTTTTCGGAAAATCAGACCTCTGTCATTGGTGTCCCATCAAGAGTAGTGCAGTTTTCCCCTTGATTCTGGTGATGACGTTTATTTGCAGGAGCTAATACTTAGGTAGCTGATGCGATCTTTTCCCCTGTTGAAGTGGTTTACAGACTAAAATAACTCAAGAACTGCTGTCACTCTTTGTGCTTCATAGGTCACTCAGATGAAAATTTAAGGACCAATGAAGCAATCCATATTTGTCAGGGAAGGAGCAGTGTTAGGAAGTCCTCGGGGGGATACGTTGAACACTGAGCGACTAGAATAACTTCCACCAGTGTGCTTTGAATACGGATGACCCACGTCTGCCTGTGTGGCATGTCTGTACATCTCCACACAGTCATGTATCTTTAAAAAAAATGTTAATTTATTTTTAGAGAGAGAGAGAGTCCCAAACAGACTCCACACTGTCAGCACAGAGCCCAACACAGGGCTCAACCTCACGAACAATGAGATCATGACCTGAGCTGAAACCAAGAGTTGGACTCTTAACCAACTGAGCCACCCAGGCGCCCCCACACTCATGTATCTTATGGCAGTGTGGCACCACCCACACATTCACACCTACACCTGCACAGACACCCAGAACTGGGACACGGTGTGGTGTGGAGGAATGTGCACAGACCTCCGAGCAGAGCAAACCTGGGCTCCAATTGCGGCCTACCAGCTGGTTGTGTAGCTAATCTCTTTCCTCTTCTGACTCTCAGTTTCTCCATCTGAAACGTGGGAATAATTATATCAGCCCCTCTAGGCCTTAGGAAAGATGATACGAGATCGCTCATGAAAAAGGTGCATAGCATCTCTAGCAGGGTCTCAACACATGCCAGTTTCCTTGCTTCTTTCCTTTTCCCTCACAGTCTACTGACTGCTCAGGGAAATTTCATTTGGCCCCTTGGAAGGTCTGCATGTCAGAAATTTCACAGTCACGTGAGAAGACCCAGTGCGGTGACTGGAGAAGATGCAGGGAGCAAGGGGCTTTTCCCGGGCTCTTCCCGTCCCTTGAGCAGACGCATCTGCTTCTCGGCAAACAGCAGTCGCATCCCTCTTCTCCCCAAAGGGAACCTGACGCATGAGACCTTTTTAGGTATTGGGCATCAGGGTGATAACAGCAATAGCTTCCGTCTCCTGCGTCTTTACCACATGCCAGCACCGTGTTATGCTTTCTTACCATGAGTCTTCCACAATGCGGGAACAGGGCGGCATCGGTACAAGGAAACCCAGGCCTGGAGAAGCCCGGTTGCCTATCCAGAGTTATGCGGCCGAGAACTGGCGTCAGGACGTAAACCCCAAACAAAACTTTTACTCATGATCAAGGGCCCGAGTAAAATGTGTGGCTTGCATCCCCCTTTTCATCGATGCAGCGTGTATGCGTTTTACGATTGTTGTGAATGCTGCGTTGGCATTGAAAATGTGCATTCTAAATTTCAGACTCCAGCATAACTCAGATAGATATTAGATAACGTTTGCCTCCCCCTCCTACCCTGTGCCCCTACTGCTTGTTAAAATGTATGTTTATAAATTGTAGGTAAGTGCTACTCAAAGTGTGGTTCCAGCTTCACTGGTGATCCTGCTAGAAATGCAAATTCTCAGGCTTCACCCCAGACCTGCTGAATAGACCCCAGGTGATGTAACAAGTCTCCAGGTGGTTGCGAAATTCGAGAAGCATGGGTATGGATGTTTCTCGGAGACACTTGGCATAGAGCCTTGCAGGAAAATGGAGCATTTAAACCCATCTTCCCTTGACTGGTTCAATCAGCTGAGAGGTTCCTGCATTTTACTGGAGACGTTGCAATGCTCCTGCTTTCTGGGCACCAAGCACAGACCTGTTGTCTTGCTGAGAGCTGACAAATGAAGAATGAACCGTTCATTTCTTTGCCCGAGATGCTCTCCATACCCCTTTCATCCAGCAACAATGGCAGCAAGCAAGCATGGCCATGGTCTGAAGGATTTAAATACTCAATTAATCAATGGAATATTCCATTAGTGGGATAATCAGTTGCCATTGCCCTGATCTATAGTTACATCTCAGCTGGGCCTCACAAATTGATTCCTGATGAAGTTCTAATTGACTGGACCATCTGATAAAGGGCCAGTTGGAGTTTATTGAAATACCCGGTGAGCAGTCCCTGGGTGGGGGTTTTCCTTTGGGGAAGGCAGGGGTGGGAAGAGGGGTAGAGGAGCATGATTTATGCCTCGTTCTCACTACCTCGTTTCTCCGATACAATGTTTATGGGTCCCAGGTGAGGGATGAGCGCTCACAGCTGGAGTACCGGGATGAGAGAGCTCTGAACGCATCCCCGGCTCTGGGCGGCAGGTGGCCAGAATGGGACTTGCCCATAAGCTCTTAGGGCAATGGTTTTCCAACTTGTGAGTGCTAAAGACTGATCCAAAGGACTTAGAATGTATAGTCCAGGTCCTAGTCTCAGATCTTCAGACTCTCTGGTCTTGGGTACGACCTAAGAATCTGCATTTTAACCCGACTTCCCATTGAGTCTAATGCTGGGAGTCTCCAGAACTCTGAGAAATCCTGCCTTCGAAGCAGACTGTATCCCAGGACAGCTGCTTCCTTGGGGGCAGTGTGGGTTTCTGAGGCTTTTGTGTGGGGACAAATGTGTATGTGTGCACTGTCAGAGGTTCCCAACCTCTTCGTGGCCTAGCACCTCCTTCATCATTTTTTTTTTAATTTTTTTTTTCAATGTTTATTTATTTTTGGGACAGAGACAGAGCATGAACGGGGAAGGGGCAGAGAGAGAGGGAGACACAGAATCGGAAACAGGCTCCAGGCTCCCAGCCATCAGTCCAGAGCCTGACGCGGGGCTCGAACTCACGGACCGCGAAATCGTGACCTGGCTGAAGTCGGACGCTTAACCGACTGCGCCACCCAGGCGCCCCGCTTCATCATTTTTTTTAAAGCTTGTTTTGAGTAATTTTTCCTTCGAAATAATCTACATTTACTACCAGTGGATTTGCCTGTGCATTCGCTTACTCAAAGATATATCTATGTCATCTATATGTATATCTATATCTATGTCTGTGTCTATGTCTATATGTGTTTGTGTGTAACAAAGGGTGTGATTAAAACAGCGCAACATCACATGTACATGTTTCATTCTGCCATTCACTCACTCACTAAATCATCAGGCATTGTTTAGGGATTATTACGCGGCGGGAACTGAGGACATCTTTTTTGAAAAAGAAAAATCAGGCAAATATATGGTTCTCCGTTGTAAGGAGCATGTGCTTCTCTGGGAAGACAGGCAGGAAAATGAAATGTACTGTTAGAGGTAAGTCCAGGGCCCTGCTTTGGGACTGACTTTTGGGTAATTTAGTAGGTTTTATTGCCGGAAAAGATATGATACCCATTAGGGTTTTTTTTTTTTTCTTGGAAATTTGAAAATAGCTCCCAGACTTCCATATCTATCTTTGAGAATCCACCTCACCGCCCGCCCCCAGCCCAGGGAGTCCTGGGTGAAATTAAGGCTTTGTCAGCTAAAGATGCCCCTGGGTCGTCCATAAGCATGTAGGGGGACAGCTCTTCTTAGCACTTCCTGTGGGGGCCTGCAGACACCGGGTGGTCTCAGGGCAACAGGGAGGGGGTTGATTTAGATATAAATGATCCAGAGCTCTGTGTATCTAAGGAGGAGCTTGGACTTGCCCCTCTTACAAAGCGGAAAAATCACAAACAGTTTCACACCAGGAAGAGCCGCGACCAGATTTCAGTTTTCTTCTTCCCCCCACATTGCATTTCTTCTTTGCCTTCTCTGCTCCGCTCCAATTTCTCTCCCTCTCTTCTCTCTTAATACACTGTGTGTTTGTGTATACGCAGCTTTGATCTGTGTTTAGATATAAATGTCCAATGTTCTTTCTGTGAAAATACATTCTGGTGCTTTGGGTGACGTGGCACGGAGTTTAGAGCCTCAGAATGTCTTAATCTGGCCCTGGGGCTACTGAGTGTTTTAATTCCTTCAGACACAGCCCTGCCCCAAAGTGCCACAGGAGCTATTTGGTAGATGGAACCTTTTGTGTGGTTTAACATGCTAGTCCCGTTTCTTCCGCCATGATGTTCTACTTCTGACAGAAACCGCCAACTAGGTCACAGAACGTTCCCGGCTAGGTCTTCCCTCACTTACCGTCTATTAAGTGGCTCTTATATGTGAGGCACCAAGGGGGATGTGACTGTCATCAGGATATGGGTTTGGCCCTCAGAAGCCCATAGTCTAGGATAGCAGCCCTCATGTGGGTATGGGTCCCACTGGTGGGCACCGGGGATAAGTTGAGATGGGATATGAATGTACATTCTAGAGCTGAATCACACATTCTAACTCCCCAATACTTGCTAATCTCCCTTTTATTTTATGTATTTATTTTTTAATTGTAGACAAAGAGAGAGCATGAGCAGGGGAGAGGGACAGAGGGAGAGAGAGAGAATCTTAAGCAGGTTCCACGTTCAGCATGGAGCCCGATGTGGGGCTTGATCCCATGACCCTGGGATCACGACCTGAGCCAAAATCAAGACTTGGACACTCAACCAACTGAGTTACCCAGGTGCCCTTCTCCCTTTTAAGTAGAGAAAAATAGCAAGCCTCAGGCCCAGAGCTAAGATAGACTACAGATTCTAGCTGGACTGAAATAATACTGCTGGGCTTCCACCTATTTGTCTGCTGATTGTGGCAAGTGTGATGGTTCATGTGCCATGTCAGCTTGACTGGGCCGTAGGGAGCCAGAAATTCGGTCAGACATCTTTCAGAGTGTGTCTTTGAGAGTGTTTCTGGATGAGATTGACATCTGAGGCAGTAGACTGAGTAAAGCAGATTGTACTCCCCAACATGGGTGGGCCCTATCCAGTCAGTTGAAGGCCTGAATAGAATAAAAAAGCTGACCCTCCTTCAAGGAAGCAGGAATTTCCTCTTGCCTGACTGCCTTGAGCTAGGACACTGGTCTTTTCCTGCCCTCAGACTTGAACTGAAACATCAGCCCTTCTAGGGTCTCTAGCCTGGAGGCCTTTGGACTGGAACCACACCATCATCTCTCCTGGGTCTCCAACTTGCCAACCACAGATCTTGGGACTTCTCAACCTTCATAATTGCCTGAGCCAATTTCTTTTAATAATCTTCCCCTACCCCCCGTACACACACACACACACACACACACACACACACACACACACACACTATTGGTTCTGTTTCTATGGAGAACCCTGACTAGTACAGCAAGTAATACTAGTAATTCCATTTAAGAAGGTAAAGAAAATGTCCTTATTCAATATATTTATTTAAATAAAAAAGGAGCTCATTTAAGGAAAGATATTAAGTAAATAATAATAGAGGTAGTACATGGATTTGGCAGACATGAGAGAAGAGTTTGGGAAATGCAGAGCTTAGGGGAAGGATGCAAAGAGCCACAGACCTAGGCAGGAATGAGGAAAGGCCAAGAAGAGAGGATGAAGACCTGACCACTGGTCGTACCCTCTGGGGATAGAGAGGAAGGCACAGATGATGAGTAGAGAGGCTGGGCGCTATGTCTAGAGCATTTGGACGACCGAGCAAGGGGTGGTAGGTACACTAACTGCTGTCACAAACCATCTCGCAATCTCAGCAGCTTAACCCAAATGAAGGTCATTTCTCATCCACATTCGTTCTTATAAAGGTCATTTGAGGAGTAGGTGATGAGTCTGCTCTGAGCCGTTATTTGGGCCAGACTTCACTCAACACGGGCTCCACAGAGCATCTTGCGATGATGGACATGTTCTCTGTCTGCGTGGTGGTGATGTGGCCACTGTCATATTGGACAGGGCAGTCAAGAGCCTCCTCCTTGTCTGCAATCATCCAGTGAAAGAGAGACAGAGACAGAGAGAGAGACTGAACAGGAAGTTTTATGGGTTAGGCCTGGAGGTGAAGTATAGAAGTCCATCACTTTCTCCCATGTTCCTTTGGTCAGAATGAGGTCATGTGGCTACCCTACATTCTCTAGAATGAGGTCCAGGTATGTGCCAGGAGGAAGAGCGGATGGGTTTGCAGTGAATCTCGCCAGGCTGTGCCACCAGAAATCTGGCAGAAGAGGCAACAGTGCCTCACAATGAGCACTCTGGGGTGGGGGGCAGCGTTGGGCAGCGACACAGGCAGGGGGCATCAGAGGGCTGAGCCGTTGGCGGCAGAGTTTCTAGGGCGGTGACTGAGTTTCAGGCACAGAGGGGGGCTGAGAGGGCAAGAGGGGCACCGTGGAGACTCTGTAGGGGTTCGGGCTGGTGTCTGTCTCCACGTGAGCCAAGGAGGGGAGGAG